TCACGAGCAACTTCCCAGTGGGTCACCCATCATGGGATTGCTCAAGCCCCATTCTCGCTTAACTTCGGAGTTCCTACGGAACCCGAAGCCAGTGAGCTCCCAAAAGGCCTCGTGCTAGGTAGGGATGGGAATAAACATTTAAGGATCACTCCCCTGGGCGATGTGGGATGTCACATGTTCGCCTTAAGTGAACTTACAATTACTAATCACAAGAAACCCTCCTTAATTTCAGGGTGATGTTCCAACAGAAATTGCACCAAATTACTTGTCTAAATATCCTAATGGTGATCAATTATTAAAATATATAGATAGTTTTAATCACGGTGATTAATAATTCAAAGCAAGCATGCATCCATTCATAAGCAAATTAATAAAATCACATATTCATGTTAATGCTTATGGCCTAACCCTAGTAAAGGAATTAGTTACGCATACTCATAATAAAAATCAAAGAAAATATTCTTAGAATGAAAACACCTTGAAGTAGAAAATCTGAAAGCCTTTGAAAACCCTAGCAAAGTTCTCTGTCTCCAAAGTTGAATAAAGGAAGTGTAGAAAAAAAAGTAAGAACGTCCAAAGCAATATATTTGCTAAGCCCCTGCACAAACCCTAAGACATAGGTCTCTTATTCCAACTAAGAAACTAAATAATAATCAAATAACTTGGAAAATAGAGTCCTAATTAAGCTAGAAAAATCTGCACATAAACCATCCAACCATGTTTTAGCCTCAAATATCCTCTAAATCCGGCCCATAATAGTTTGTTTTGAAGATCGAGACGTTCAGAAGGCCACAAACCCATCCGAGGTCATCTTGGGCTCCAAAAACGCAATTCAAGCCCAAAAACGTCACTTTCTAGCACCGCACACTGCCTCTTTATTCTATTGTCAGAAAATCATCGCTTGGTAGAAAAATCTAATATTTTAATACTCACAAATGTCCTCCAACTGGAATTACTCCAAAATTCGTCCATTTGATCCTATTTTGCTCTAGAGGAAGTCGAAAGTCCTATATCAAAAATACAACTCAAAGTATCAAAATTCTTTCAAAATATTAATCAAAATATACTAAGAATAGGGTTAAATATATAATATAAAATCCGCTCATCAGTATTTTCTTAGGGTTTTGTAGCGGTTTTGGCATTATTCTTTATTTAATAATATTCATATTGTTTTATTGTCTTGTTCATCGCGCACACTATGGTATCAGAGCAGGTTTGATTCTTCGGAATTTAATCTGCTCTTGCATGTCCTGTATCAGATTGTTGTTGCCTTCCACTGTTTGATTGTTCCAATTTAGATTAATTGTGAAAATTGGTTGTAGTCCCCAAAAAAAAAGTTGTCATTGTTCATTGTTCATCGTTCGTTCTTATCCGGTACTCCAGCATCTGACCTTCATCTCTAGCAATCTCGTACATGCCACTGGTTTTGACGAAATCCAGACCAGAGAACCACAAACTCGGATCGAGTTCTTCTTCGCCTTGGATCACCTCAATCTGCACCCGCACCTGAATCCATCTATGCTACACCGCACTTGACTAGTGCAACCATTGAACCACCATCTACTGCTGCACACTTCGCCTGTAATTCCTTCTGTACAAGAGACGAGATCCATCGAACCCATCAAACCGATTCTATCCCACTAATCTGCATTCCACACCTCTATTGATATGGACCCACCAAGTCTACCAAGCTTGTTTTCTACGAAAGGAACAGAAGAAAAAGAATGAGGAAGAAGGAGAAAAAAATAAAAATGAAGGGAAGTGTTGATCCGTGAGCAGTGCAGTGAAAAAAAACAAAAAAAACAAAAACAAAAATATGTGTTTTTTCTTTTATTGGGCCACTCGTTGTTCTGAAAGGCCCACACTACTGTTGGAAAATCTACCGTAGCCATTCACAACAATTGCTTGATTGCTTGGACTGGTGAGTACTCGTGTGACGTTGTAAATTTGGTAAATTGGATTTTTTTTTCTTGCTTGTTTGTTCAGAAGTTTGTTTGAAAGTTGGCACTGGCATTACAAGTTTGCATTAGAACTGGCACTGGCATTGGAATCTTGCACTTGCACTGATGGAATTTCGTATTGGAATTGGCATAAAAAATTAGCATAATGGTGCTTGCATTCACATCTGTTTGTTGGCAAACTCATGTCATCTACTGCTATGAGTTCGATAGCGGTGTTGGAAAAAATTAGTATAGATTTTTTATTGTTTGGTTTTTCAGACCTAGCCCGTTAGTATTAGGGTTTCGTTTCTTTGCCTGTTAGGGTTTGGTTAGTTTTCTATATATATGGTACTTCGTAACTCTATAATATAACAAGTTAGTGATGATGTAACTTTTTAATCCATGTTGTCTCAATACATGCATGGGCAAGAGACAAGTACTCCGATTAAGCAAGACTGAGAGGTCGTTGGTTGCTTTTAAAAGCACTAAGAAATGAGATTTGTGCCAAGATAAAGTAAAATAGTCAGTGGTGGAATGACGAGTGTCTAGAAAACCCGCCCGATCAACATCAGAATAAGTGGATAAATTTGTAGAAGAAAGTTGAGGAGTCAAAGTGAGACCAAAATTCATAGTATCTTTGATATGTGTACAATCCATTTGGTGATAAGCTCATATTTATATATATTTTACATCAAATTCACTTGTCTTTTTTTAGTTAGTTCCTTATATTTTTGAGGTATCTATTAGTTCCTTATATTTTTGACGTATCTACTTTGTTTTTGTGTTTAGTGGGATTTTTCAAGAAAAGAAGCGAAAAAGAGCACAAGTGGGATTTTAAATAGCAATTCGTCAAAACTGCCTATGCAGATGAGCTGACTTTGACAACGAGTTACGGACAACTCAGAATGGTTCAGAGAGTGGACCTTATATTTTTTTAAAGTTATGGATGTCTATTTTTTGGAACATTTTACAGCTTGTTATTATAATTTTTCTTGAAGACGTTATGCATGTTTTAACACCGAAAGGTTCACAAGAGGCTGAGCAGTTTGTAACTGACAAGAAATCAATGAAAGCAATAAACACAATAAATCCTGGCAGCCACCATTGATGCAGCCAATAAAACCCACAAGTCTCAATAATAATTAGCTTTAATTAATCTTGAATTGGCATGATGGTGGGAACCATAACACATTTGGAAGGTTATGAAAAGAAAAGAAAAGAAGCTAAGTGGGGGAGGAAAAAAAAAAAAAAAAGGCAGCAAGAACATTGGGGGAAGGAGGAAAAGAAGTAGCAAGGTCCTCATTCTTTTCTTTTGGTTTTATCTTCTCAAACTCATGTCTTTCTTTTGGTTTAATTTAAGAATTATGTGCAACTAAATCTCTAGAAGTTAGGGGTTGTTGTGAAGCCTCAATTATGATTGCAAGTTTGTTATGACATTTTTTTTTAATTTCTTTTATGAAAGATGAAAATTGGTTCACTGCCTATGTTATTGATGAATTCTTTATGTGTTTTATATGGATGCATACTTAGTAAGCATATCTATGATTTTAATGCTATGAATATATGTGTGCCTGCCCTTACCAAATGAGGACTTACATATGTTCTAGAGTAGTACTTATTAATTGCAACTCACATGTGAACCAATTTCTAGGATAAGCAAGACAATGCCAATACTTACGATGCCTTGTGATGACTCAAACTCATTTTGCTCTTAATGATTTCTACTTGTTATGTCTATGAACATGCCATTCTAGATTGCATGCTAGGAACTATGTTAAGTTGAAAACACCATTATCTTAACATAGTACGTAAGAGAGAGTAATAAGTTGAGTTCTAACAATGAGCCAACTTAAGCATCTTCATCTAGAAATAAAAGTAATTTGAATGAAACATAACATGTTTGCATAATTATTTGGTGGTGGATAGCAATTCCCCTAACTCATTTTCTTAATTTGTGAACTAAAATCAATTTTCATTATTTTATTTTTGTTTCTGTCTTGATTTTGTTGAATTTATTTAAAATAGAAAATCAACTCCAAAATTTGTGTGAGTGTACCTCTGTGTGTCTAGTGTCTTCTTGTTAAACTTTGTCGAATTTAGATAAGTCTAAGTTAGTATAATAATTTTCGATGGCTGGTCTGTAAGAACAACAGTCTAGTTTTTGTGAATTTTAAGTACTTAGACAAGACAATCTTTTGCCAAATCTTAGTATTAATAAAGAAAATCAATAGGAAACTTGTGTGCTACTTTGTGGTGTGCTTTTTAAACCTATCAAATTTTTGGCATTGTGCCAGCAGGGAACGTTGTTTCTAATTACTTATTTATCTATTGTGTTCTATTTCTTGTCTAATTAGAAAGAGGATTTGAGCTCAAGTCTGGCATGATTCACTATTTGCCTAAGTTCCATGGCTTCTCAATAGAGGATGCCAACAAGCATCTCATGGAGTTTCACGTGGTATGCTCAAGAATGAGACTAGCAAATGAGGATGAGGAGCAAGTCAAGTAAGGGCGTTCCCATTTACATTGGAAGCTAAGGCTAAGCAGTGGCTTTACAACCTGCCTCTTGGATCAATGAACACATGGAACCAAGTGAAGCAAACATTCTTAAAGCAATATTTTCCAACCACTAAAGCTGCATGCATAAGGAAAGATATATGTGCAATCTGACAACAACATGGACAGTCCTTTGGAGATTATTATAAGTGGTTCACGCACTTGGTTGCATCTTGTCCTAATCATCAAATTTTAGAGCATCTTCTCATATAATATACCTTTATGAGGGGTTGTGTGGCACGAATCATGTAATGCATGATGTAGCAAGTGGAGGTGCATTCATGGACAAGACGCCAACTAATGGTAAGGCATTGATAAAGAACATAGCCGGCAACACATGACAATTTGGAGGGAGAGATGAGCTACCTCTTAAGAAAGTCAACGAGGTTGTGGTGGCTCCAAAACCTGTGTGGTGTGTGTTGAATGATATGACATGCCACGGACATGTGCCCTTCGTTGGTGGATCAACGTGGTTTTGGGCAAGCTAATGTGCTAGGAGGATTTCAAGGCAACAAAGGCAAAAGTATGACTCATTCTCCAACACTTATAATGCGGGATGGCATGATCATCCACACTTTAAGTGGAAGAATCAAGACAACAGGAAACAATTTGCCCCCAACAACTTTAATCGTTCACTTGACTTCTTTCAAGCAAGACCACATATTAGCCTCTTCAATAACAACATGCTCCATGTAAGTCTCTTGAGGATTTAATTGCTTCTTTAGCTAATTACACTCAATCTCATCAACAGAAAACGACTAAAGCAATTGAAAACCTTGAGTACCAAATGAGTCAACTAGCAAATTTGAAAGCGGTAACAACACCAACTGGGAAAGTTGCCTAGCCAAACTCCAGCTCCAGCTATGAACTTTGGCAAGAGTCGTCAAGTTTGAAGCCAGCTAGAGGTGTTTTTCTATTGGAATTGAACTGTGGTAGTTTAAGGAGGAAATGTTGAGCTTTTGAGTTGAATTCTATTGGTCTTAATCCCTGAATGCACATTTTTGGTTTTACAGAATCTAGCGAACTCCTTCATGGGAAATCCTTCGAGTCCGAGGTGGACTTGACTTCTTTTGGGAAATCCTTCGTTCCCTTAAAATCGATTTTAATCCAAGCTTGGTAACAATCTGGGTTTTTTTTGCAGTTTCGGGTGAGGTTCCGAGGCCGGCTAGTAGCGCAGACGACACTGTAAGTTAGGATTAACGGCGAGAATGGCCATTCCGTTAGTTTTAACAGAATCTCTAGATGGTAAAGGTATATTACGTCTCCCCTCTATATACATTTTCCGACAAACGGCGCGTAGCACCGGCGAGGACGACTGTGATGTTTACTTGTCGAACTGTGACTGCTGTGACTACAACGGTGCGTCTTCCTGACTCGTGGCAGTGCGTGATGGCGCGTGCAAGACCGGAGACCTAACGATGACCGCCGTTTGCTGCCATTCCAACCTTACAATGGTATTATTTGTTTTCAACAAAAATAGTAACTTAAGAAATATTATGTGCTATTTCAATTACAGCAATTCCTCTTATCGTAATTCAATAAGCAATATCGGTCGTTTTTTATTTTTTTTATTTTTAATAATGATATATTTTACACAAAGAGGAGGGGGAGTTCAGCTAAGTCACACAATGGACAATCTAATTTGGTATCAAATTAGCTATCTATGAGATTCAAACCTAAAACCTGTCACTTATAAGTGAAAACGAACATCACCAGATCGTAGTACTGAGTGACAATATCAGTCATTTAGTTATATATAAGTACTTGTAATAAGAACAATATCGTATAATTATATAAGGTGGTGATATAACAATTAGACGAGTATTTCTTGCCTAAATGTTTGAACAGGCAGCAATTAATTCATTTCTACAATTAATGTTGTTCAGTAAAACAAAATGCATTTATTTCATGAGGAGTTCATTTCTCAAGCGATATATCCACAAATTGACCATAATCTCCTACTTAATTCTGTGAGCCACATTTTTTGATATTTGCAGTCCATTGTCATCCAGCCTTGACACGTCTTTGAGCAGAGACTCCATGAAAGCTACAGTGAGCAAAACATGTAATTATTAGTAATAATAGCCAATTCTAATTAACAAATTCTTAGTAAAAGAATTAGCCAATTCTAATTAACAACTGCTATAAAACTGGAAGTGCAACATATGAGTTTTTCCGGCATCAACATAGAACCAACAGTTAGAGGAGAGAAAAATCATTACGTATCAGAAATCATAACTTAAACCAAAAGAAGTAAGACACAGTTGATGTTCTTCATGTCCATCTAAGAGATGGGCATGTAAATTTTGTAAACAAACACCTGCTCGTTTGTCCAACCTGAGAAGATACTGAGTTCTCATTGAAGATTCAATGCTTAAGTAGTTTATTTATTTAAGTGATTTCCATTTTGTTGAAAAAATGATACCGCCCTAAAAAAATGCAGAACAACCGCAATCAAATCATTTTTTATGTCCTATACAGTCTGTTAGAAGGTGCCCGAATCACAACAAAATGGAAATCTACAAACTCGCTCGCTCTAAGGACTCAACGATTTCTCGCTCCAACAGAATCACATCCAACTCTATCAATTACTTCTGAAATAGTAAAACAACCAGGATTGTAGTCACTAAAGTCCTAATTATTGAAATCACAAAAGAAGAACAACCAAATTCATAAATTGATGAAAGAAAGGAGTACAAAATTCAATCATAAACTAAAGGAAGAAAACATGTCGAAAGTTTTCTTATAAGAAAATTTGTATGCATTAATATTTTAGTCCTTCTCGAGCTTAAAAATACTATGTACTACAAGTTCAGGAGGCAAAAAAAACCAAAAGCCAAAATTTTGTCATTTCATGGCTTGAAAACAGACTCTTCAGTCTATAAAGTCTGAAGGGATATAATACTACTTGTGGAGCATCGGATCACTTTGAAAGTGTATCCCAAATTTGAAGGCTGTCAGCCAAATTGAATTCCTAGGTTAAGAGGGAGGGTGATCCACCTAAAATCATAACATTGGGGATTGACCTGTCATTTAAGAGCCCAGTCAGTCCTATATAAAGAATTCTAGTGACCTGAATATGATATTGTTGAATAACCATGAAAACCTTAGCGTGATGAATAATTAAGCAGTATTTTACTATTTATAAGGCTGTCAACTGGTGGCAAATAATTATTCTCTCAGAGATATTCGGAAATATTATTGATTTTGATCAAATCTGTAAGGAGATCAGTAATAAGAAGTGATAGGCCATCACTGGATAAGCTTGAACCCGGAATAACTTAGCTAAATAGTATTTCATGCCGTTTCATGTCACACTAATGGCATACTGATGTATACATTCCTCTTCAATTACATTTACATAAATGCAATTGATGTTCTTTTGGTGTTGCAGGGGGTATAAATAAATAAATAAATATATTCATTACATGGAGATATTTCACCTTTTCGTTAATAAACCGATGACTATCTTCTTCTTCGGGTCCAACAACCTCACATAGTTTGAATCCAAGACATGAAATGATCCAACAGGTTTAGTTAAGATAGTCAGACAAACTCTCTTTTGCTAGTTTCTTGCATCAGCTTAACTAACATTGGACATACTGTAGACAGTGCATCGTTCAGATTTCGTTAAGATAGTCAATCACAACGGAACGTGCGATTGATCTAGAAGAATATGCCAAATCTTTATGGAAATGCATGAACAGTCAAACATGAAATACAAAATTTTAAATACCAAAAGTAGTGCATATATAAATAAATAAATAGAAGTATATAACTCACACTTATTGCTCAAGCATCCAATAGCAGCGCCTTTGAAATTTTTCATCATCTTCTCTGTGGGCATTGTAGCAGTGTAGAACATCATCTCTGTCAACCTAAAATAAACTGAAGAATGTTACCCCAAATGCAGGTTCTTTATTATACGAGTGGACATGCGATTGACCGAGAAAATCAGAAATTTAGAAAATATGAGATAATTACTCGTGGTGTGTTAAATTGAAGACATATTTTTTCCTCAAAAATTTTCCCGAGAATCAAGAGCACTATTATTTTTCTCAATGCTACTGGAAAAGGCGTGAAAAGATGTTGGATTCTACTGTGCCAGGGGATTAATGAAAATCACCGCAACGACAGAGAAAGATACAGAGTTGAAAAGATCTTCCTTCAACCTTAATTTCCCGCTTGAAAATCTTTTGTTGAATTAATAACAAAGATAACTAAAATATTTGAATGAATGAAGTTGAGCCTAAGCATAATAGTAAATGGGAATTTGACAAGGACATTTGAATTAACAGAGTTGTAGACGCTCAGAACTTCGACGTCCTTCCATATCCTAGATCCATTCGATTAATTTTGAAGTAGAATCATTACTCCATTTCAACAACTGATGGGCAACGACATATCCATTCACATCCTACCACGACGAACTACATCACAGTAAAACAGCTGCAAAATCATCACACCCATTGACGTAATTCGTCTTTTTAAATTTTTTTTCTCCTTTTAATATCTTAGCTCCTTCAACAGCAAATTTGAAGAGAAATGTACCTCCGTTTTAAGGTTTTATGGCACTAGCGTCACTTTCTGAGTGTGACCATTTCAGATTCATGTGTGCTGCTACATTGGGCTACAACAACTACGAAGTAGGAATAAAACAAATGTGGTCTTCAACACCTCATTCGCCTCTTCGTTTTGTTGAACTGATGCCCCAAATGTAATGTCCCAACAAAATTTAGGTGTTACTCGACCTGTAATAAAATTTCAAAAATCCCAATCACCACAACCCATTATTGACACTGTCACCATACCCCCCCTGTTGCCGCTACCATTACCACCACCACCATTGTCTGTGCTATCACCGTCACCTCATTACCATGTCTATTTTATGCCATTATATACAATTATATTACTTTTACATTAAAATTTATCAAAAGCTTTTATCATACTCACAACACTTTTGAAAATATAGTTTATCAAACCGTCAACTGCTTTTCTTTACAGTTGATTATTCTTGAAGTATAGCACAAGCAATTTTTTAAGGCTTTTTAGCCAAAATAGTCCCTGAGATATGTATAACTTATCACTTTGGTTCGTGAGATATGAAATCAATGGAAGTACTCTCTGAGTTTATCCACCGTCAATCATTTTGGTCATTCTGTGAAAATTTTGTTAAATAAGGACCAAAATGACAAAAACACCCTCTATTTAATAAACAATGGGCCAAAATAATTTGACAAAAAATTGAGGGTATTTTAGTCATTTTATCTTATTTAATGGAGATTTTTCACGAAATGACCAAAATGATTGATAATAGACAAACTCGGAGACCACTTTTATCGATTTCAAATCTCAAGGACCAAAGTGAGGAGTTATACTAATCTTAAGGATTATTTTGGCTAAAAAACCTCTTTTAAAAAGCAAAAAAATTCCAAACCAGCCATTAACCATCTATTTTTTTTAGGATTAAGTACCTAAAACCCCCTAACCTTTTAGTGTCATTCCAAATTGATCTCAAACTTTTCAAACATACCAAACCTATTGAAAATATTGCATCTATTAAATCGCAGTTAATTTTTTTCGTTAAATGTACATGTGACAATAATAAATCTCACTCATTTGCTTACTTGGACACTAAAATAATAATAAAAATAACACATGAAGGTGAAAAAATAAAATGAAAAAACAAATTCATGAATAAATTGGAAAACAGAATGAAGATTGAGAAATCTCCTAACAAAGAAGAGGGCTAAGAATTTAGAGAGGATTTCAAAAAGCTTGTTTCTGCTTATGTGATTTCCTCATTCGTCACGCTTTCATGACCTTCTATTGATGTTTAGAGACAAAAAAAACCCTAGTTAATTTAACAGAAATTTAATTGGGGCTGAACTGATGTGACATTTTCAATAGGTTAGGTACTTGTTTGAAATGTTTAAAAATGTTGAGATCAATTTGAAATGATAGAGAACTTTTTTTATGTACCTATTTTTTTTCTATGTGACTTTTGCCACCTAAAATAAACTATTTTTCTTGTTATTGGACACCTTAAATTACTCAGTTGGTCGTGAATACGCGTAGTAACGTTGCTAGGTGTTCCTATAAAGTGTTCTATAATCGTGTAAAGTAAAGTATTTATTCCATCAGGTATTCCCTGTCCTATCGTTTCGTCAAAGATGGGAAGTCCTTCCTCATCTTTTTTGACCGCAAAGCGTATTTCATCTCTGGATTGAGAAGTTAAGTGCTTCTCCCACCAAGAATGAAGCATTCCGGTAAAACCAGTGACTAGTAGGTCAACGATTTGTGTTTATGTAAAATTGTGATTTGAAATGTAGCTATTAGCAACCATGGACATGTGTTGAAGTTTGTTCAAAAGTTCTTGTTCTGACAATCCATCTATATTCCATTCATAGAGTTTGTCAGCAGAGACTGAAAATTGATTTTGAATATTTCTTTCTTCAAATTGAAGATCAGGAGGTGTTGGTCTGGGATACCAGTTTTTTGTAAGGGATGTGG